ATCCATTGGAGCCGGCGAAAAGAGTGGAAGGAGTCCTCCTTTAAGAAAGGAGCAGCAGAAACAACGTGTGATGAACTGACCTGCAGCCTTTGCCCCTGCTCCCCGCAGGGGAGAAGAAGGAAGGCATAGGGGGAAGGTGTTTCTAAGATCTGCCTTTGCTTCTTGTCATCCTCTCTGAATGAACCCTTAACAAATTGAACTGATTTGTCCCCCAGCCCAGTCTGTTCTGCCCAGGGCCACGGTCAGTGGGTGCTCCCCTCTGTTCCTGTCTCACCCTCAGCCTTTGGTCACATTTCTCTCCTCTCACTGCACCGAGGGGAGCAGCGAGCCACCGCTGGGCTGAACCACGACAGAACTCTCCCATTCACCAGTTTGATCCGATATTGAAAAGAGAAGGCTACTTTGCCCGTAACCAAAATCCTAAACCAGCTCCCTGTGTGCAGCTGCATTTTCCCTGCTTTCCTGACCATCTCTGGAAGTACAGCCTATTCCAGTACTCAGCCAGTTCTGGTGCTTTGCTTTATACCTCAGCCAAATGTTTGCAAACAAAATTGTGGCTTTTTAGACCACCCTTGGAGACTGCTACGGTGGCTGAAAAGGAGAGGCCAGCTCCTTTTTTTAGAACTGAGCAATTATCAATCCAAAAATCAAGCAATAAACTTTCTTGATTAGCAATAGCTGCAATCCATCTCACACCTTTGTTTTTAGGAACAATCATCTCGCTATTACGACATTCCCTAACATACTATTTCATTATCCCACTAAAACAATAATCATATTAGCAAAGTTCCTGTCTCCTTTCCTCGCATCAAGAGCTACACACAGATATTCCTTTTAATTGCTTCCAGAGAAACGTCTGGTCCTGCCAACGCAATTGTATCAGACCACAGTGCATCTCTGGGTATACCTGACCTCTACATACAGCTTGAACAGACTTATTTTTGGGAAGTCAGCAAACCACTTCAAGCCTGAACCAGGACTGAAGCAGTCTGGATTCACAAACAACTGCCATAGTCCTTCCTCTGCTTGCAGTGTGACAAGGAGCTTACAAAAATCTGCCAGCATCAGCCACTTCTGGAAGTTCTCCTGATCCACGTTTGGTAAGTATTAGTAAGAATATGGTTCAGACATTAGGCACTGCCCACAGTGGTTAATTAAACATGAGGCACTGCCCACAGTGGTTAATTAAACTTAACAGTTTAGATTGACTAAGAAGAAAAGCCATTAGGTGTGGGCAGATAACGACACCCAGAAAAATTAAGATAAAAGGCAGTCTATTTAACAGAGAACAGCCTAACCACTGCAACATAAACCTGAATAATCTTTGGTGGAAACTGTCGTTTGATAGAAATGACCATTTTTCAAGTCTAGCTATCTAAGGTTATCACTGGTGGTTGACTGGACTGGTACTGTAGGAGCATCACTTGCAGTCCTTCGTTTCTTGAGTCTGATACTTTTTCTGTGGGGACTCGAAGACTCCGTCTCCGCAAGATTATGTTGTGAAAGACACAACACGCTTTCTGTGGCTGACTGCAACTTCAGATTCTCACTGATAATCTGCTGGTTTCAAGGGGATTCTGCGTGCCAGCATTAGCAAAACCTGGAAGAGCAGTAATTTAGCTTTTAGACTCGTAAGAACATAGGGAAAGCAACACTGGAACAGATCAAATATCCATCTGTGACAGTAACCAACAGAAAATCATGTTAAGTACAGAAAAGCAGAGATGCTCTCCCAGCTGTAGTGGCAGCACTTCCTGCAGAGGTGGCACCTGAGGTATGTAAGAGTCCTCAACAGATTTTCCAGATTAATTTGTTGAGTCCTTTTCTGAATTCATACACATTTCAGCAGGCACTATATCCTGTGCCAAGGAGTTCTGTCCTTATCTGGAGGATGTCGTGCAGGACAGTGTCAAATGCTTTCAGCAAGTCCAGGTAGACGATGTCAGTTGCTCTTCCCTTATCCACCAATGCTGTAATCCCATTGTAGAAGGCCACCAAATTTGTCAGGCACGAGTTCCCTTTTTAAAAAAGGAGTTTATGTTTCCCCTTTTCCAGTCGGTGAGAACTTCACTGGACTGCCAAGACTTCTCAAATAGGATGGATAGTGGCTTAGCAACTCCATCTGCCAGTTCCCTCAGGACTCAAAGATGCATCTCATCAGGTCCCATGGACTTGTGCACCTTCAGGTTCCTTAGATCATTTCGAACCCCATCTTCTCCTACTTGATGAAACGCAGCATTGTTTTGCTTGTGCGGAATCCATTAACAGACTGGTTAACTTGTAAGTTAACCAAGTGTTAACTTACTTTGATACCTGTTAGTTCATGTTCTTCAGTGGATAAAATAGTTGTTCCCTATCTATTTCCTCCATTTCACTAGCAGTTTTATAAACCTTTATTTTATTCCTCTCTAACCATAACCAGCAAAGCATCTCTCTTCTAGGCTGAAGAGCCCCCTCTGTGTATCCAGTCACTGATCCTCTACTGTAAGTAACTGAATTGTTCAGTTGCTTGAAAACAAGAAGAAAAACCAAAACTCCAAACTGGTTTTTACTGCATCACTGGCTTGTAACTCAGCTTGAGATTATTCCAGTTAATGTCAGCCTCAATGTGAATGAAGTTAAGTCAGAATAGAGCCAAACTAAAACACAAGCTGGTAACTTGCTTAAAAAGATAAACAGATTTGAACAAAGCATAAATTAATGTAAACATATCTCCACTAGAATTCTGAGCTAATCTATTTAGATTGTTTTTTTAATACAGAGAAAAAATGAAGCAGGAAGAGTATCTGTCTTCATCATTTCAATATCCACCAGGGATATGGAGATATGATTGCCATTTGCAGTCTGACAACCACAGGAAACTGCCTGTAAAGAGTCATGTTCAAAGGAAAAACGTAACAGTATGATTTCATCTCACACTGATAAAATTCAGACCCCGTGCACATCACCTTCGCAGTTCTGTTGCAAGTTGGACATCTGGTTAAGGATGTCTCCACAAGAACAGAAGCTCTGACACATTTGGCTCTGTGGGAAATCAGAGAAGTTGGCCGGTTTAGAGTCAGTAACAAAGTTTATCAGGCAAGAAACTAAGCTGTGTTCCAGGAAAATGCAGCATGCAATAGACTAAGCTGACATATGCCAAGTAGGAAGGTAAGCCCAGTAACCCCTGGGGTGGTCAAGAGAAGAAGCACATATTTCACATATAAATTATCAGATCAGGTGGGAAAAGGTGCACACCTGGTCCATGTCCTTCTTATGTTGGGGACGGAAAAGGTGCACATGAAAAGGAGGTTGTAGCAAAGAGAAGACGGAACTCCTTAGTGATTAGGATGGAACTGATGCACTTACCATGACAACCCGCTCTTGGAGAGGCTGTGCAGCTGGCAGATTAAGTGGTAAGTACTGACACAAAACCATAGAAACATGTTCTACTTGCCTTTAGGGCTGCACAGACTGTTTATGCATTTATGAGGCTACCTTCTGCAGCTAAAGCGAGACTTACAGAGCTAAATGGATGCTCTCCTAACAGGTCTTTTCAGTATTTTACTCGTAACGTGCACGAGCTCCTAGTTCTGCGTGGGAAATGTAAAACGTACTTATCCCTAAATGGACTTCTCAATCATGACTTCAGCCACTGCAAAACAGCAAGAGGTAAGTTTGAAACCCCACATTACTAACATTTCCTAGGACCGCCGACACGAAGACGGAAAAGGGGTTCAGAACTGCTATGCTTACTCATTAACATGTCTGAAAAGCCACTTCATAAGAAACAAACCTAACGTAACAGGAGCACTAACCAGCGACTGTCGGAACAGGCAACACTTCTTTGGGTCAATGCCGCAGGCGAGGATGGCAGCGGTGGTGTCCAGGATGTTCCGGCGCAGGACGGCTGGCTCCTTGGGCACGGTGAGCGAGTGCATGTCCATAATGCTGTAGAGCACTGAGCTGCCCTCTTCCTGCAGATTCACCCAGTTCTGGATGGCTCCGAGGTAGTTACCCAGATGAGGCGTCCCAGTTGGCTGAATACCAGAGAAAATCCGATCCACCACCGTATTCTGTTACAAAGCATTGGTAAAATTAACACATGCTTTTATATTTTCTTTTATATTTTTTTTATATTCTTTTATCTTTTCAAGTTATCAATAAAGCCCCACTTATGCCTGTTACTTCTCTCCTCTCCTTAGTTGTATTAATGTATAAATTACCTCAGAATTGGCTAAAAATCTTGCAGTAAGTCAGTCAAAATATTCTATCCTACTGCAGCGAGACTGACCACTAGTATAATTTGTCAGAGTCTAAATGCAAACAAACATAGCTGTGAACAAGATCAGTGAAAAGCAGATCTCAGCAACCAAGTGGCAGGGTCTTTCATCCTTTTTTGTGTCAAAGCTGTACGTTTCTCTTTAGTACATTATCCACTCTGATACAGAAACTTAGGATCACAGCAAAGAGAAATTAAAACCTTTTTGTTGTAAACATATGCAATATTCAAGCAAATTGCCATCTTAACTCCCAGGAACACTGAAGCCTTATTTTTCTAGCTGCAAAGAACATTTTGAGTGGTTCCTGAAAGAAACCTAGTCCTTGACCGAAAGGTCAAAGAATCACAAAAGGGATTATGGAAGTTTTGAAACTACCCATCTTTGCAGCAGCAGAGTTTCTAAAAGGGCTCTGTAAAGAAACCCTGCTATAGCTCAAGATCACACCTGGAATTCTGTGGATGCACCAGTACCAGCAAAATGTCAACGTCTGAAAAGAGTTCACAGAGAAGCAGCAAAAAATGATTAAGAAGCTGAGGTTGCGGGCAAAGATTAAAAAGCTTAAAACATGTATAGCTTGGCTAGGTGACAGTTACCATCTTGGAAAGTTTGTTTTCCTGCATCCCAGCCCTCCAGCTGACCATTTTCTCAGAGCCCCAAGCTGTCAGCGTATGATCAATTACCTCCCCGACCTTTCCAAAGAATTCCACCATATTCAGAAGTAACTCCGCGATGTTTTACGCGAAAACGCTTGTTCCACGCCAGGCTGGAAGAGCACGCAAGGCTGCTCCACCTCCAAAAGAGGGTCCCACCAAGCCCAGCAGGGAGCCCCAGCCACAAAGCTGCAAACAGAAACCCTCAGGCTGCTGTGCTGCAGGAATATCAACTGCGTTACGCCTCTGGCTGCATGATTTTTTTCCTGCTAAATTTTATAAGCAACATCTCTAACAAGGTAGAGAAAATTTATTTACTGATGTAGTCCATTTTAGTTTCTGTGAATCTCGTACAAATATATGGAGGAGGAAAAGAAACCCCAACCAACTATGAAACCACACAAAATGGCAGCAAAAGTCAACGCCAAGTATCACTAAAAAAAGGACTTCAAACTGACTTCATTCATTTTGACTCAGACTCAAGAAAAATTAATGAGAAAGTGTTTCCAAGTGGAATGGGACTTTTTTTTTTCTTTTTTTTTTAACATGATCTATAGTTCAGAAAAGCCTAGCCTCTTTCCTTCAAAATTTGTTGAAAAATTCTCTTTGGTTTCGGAGCAGGTCTGTTTTTCAGATCAAGACAACTTTCTTCTCCAACACTTAAGTGTTTGGGCTGACAGGTAAGAGCAGGTTTGCACTAGCAGCCATGCTAGTTTCTCCTGCTCACATACATGCCTACACATTTAAGTCCAGGTGGTAACCCCCTTACTCCATCCCAAATACCTTCTTGATTTCCGGGTATATTCTTGACTCAGTTTCACAATGCTTTTGGAGAACCTCCAGCACAGGAGCTGTAAGATAGTCACTGCAACAAAAAGCACACCATTTCCTCCAACAGCAGTTCTAACCTCCAGTTCTGGTGCTCCAGTCCTTGACCACCCACGTCTCTTTTCTCTGTTGCACAAGAACGGAATTATACTGCTCAATCCCTTGTTTGCCATTTGATCCCTTGTTTTTCTAGGAGCCTACATCAGGGCATTCATCACCACTCGCAGAAGCCCCTTACCTCCCACCCAGCTACTACCTGGCTCAAGGACTGCAGCCAGCGTTTTGTCAGCATGGAAAAGGGCCAGGTGCTCACCTACAGAAGGAGGCACACAGAATCTCAACATACATACATTAAATGATCATAGAATCATAGAATCATAGAATGGTTAGGGCTGGAAGGGACCTTCAAAGGTCATCTAGTCCAACCCCCCTGCAAGGAACAGGGATATCTCCAACTAGATCAGGTTGCTCAGGGCCTCGTCCAACCTGGCCTTGAATGTCCCCAGGGATGGAGCATCCACCACCTCTCTGGGCAACCTCTTCCAGTGTTCTAAAACTCTCATGGTAAAAAAATTTTTCCTAATATCCAATCTGAATCTACCTCCCTCTATTTTAAAACCATTACCCCTTGTCCTATCACAACAGACCCTCCTGAACAGCCTCTCCCCATCTTTCTTGTAGGCCCCCTTGAGGTACTGGAAGACCGCTAGAAGGTCACCCCGGAGCCTCCTCTTCTCCAGGCTGAACAGCCCCAACTCTTTCAGCCTGTCCTCATAGGAAAGGTGCTCCAGCCCTCTTATCATCTTCGTGGCCCTCCTCTGGACCCTCTCCAACTGGTCCATGTCCTTCTTATGTTGGGGGCTCCAGAACTGGACACAGTACTCCAGGTGAGGTCTCACAAGGGCAGAGTAGAGGAGGAGAATCACCTCTCTCGACCTGCTGGCCACGCTCCTCTTGATGCAGCCCAGGTATGGATGATGTCTTGTGGAATGATGTCTTGTGGAAACTCGGGATTCACTGGGCCTCAGAGCTGTGCTCTCGTAAGGGCACAGGGCAGTTGCTAGGCAATGCCACCGGTACCTCACAGGCATCGCATCTGTCTTTTGCTTCCCGTGTTCCTGCTCTTCATCAAGAGAATAAGAGCTCTGGAATAAAACAAGGCTATAAATAGATGATCACTAAGATGGTGTTCTGCCCCTACAGCGATCCCAGAACAGCTGGTTGTTTGTCAGAGCACGTTTCCTCTTCTCATCTCCCTGTCTCCCCTCACTCAGTTCAACTCCTGATGCTCCTTCCCACAATTATTTCTCCCCACGGTGCTGCCTGCTTTCCACTGCCCATTTATGTGCCTGTTTAACCACGCTCTTCTGCACAGGCTATAGCTTCTTCTAGCCCTACTCTCCATTTTCTTATCAGATAATTTAATCCTTCCCATGTTCCTGTATTCTTTTCTTCCTCGGCTTGTGCTTCCCCACCCTCCGCCTCCCAGAAGAGCTCTTGCATGGTATTCCAAAATGGTAAGAAGGCACAGAGTATGCCTACCACCTGGTAAGGAAGCTATTACTGCCTTTACTCCCCTGACTTCATAAAATATGTTTCCTACCTGCACTGTTAAAACAGCTAAGAAACTTTGTGATCTAGAAATCCACTACGGATATGCATCAAATAAAGTATGGTAGGACGACCATGTTAAAAGATGTGCAGAAACTGGCACATCTTTCAACTGCAGTCTAGGCAAAATTATGTCCCCTAATTTGAGAATCATACACTCAAATAGATGGTACAAATGCAACAGAAATGTTTAAGTACATAACTTGAGAACATTTTTCACCAAGAAAAAACAAGACACCAGTTTTTCAACATACACCATGCATTCAAACTCTGTACTAACTCCCAATATCTGAAGGGTGACAATGAGCTAATTAAAGACAGGTTTATTGTACATAAGTCAGCACCTGGTGACACACTACCTGGTAGAAAAAAAACACCCAAGTTTATGTAAAATGGACACAGTTTCACATAAAGGGACAAGAAAGTTCTCTGCCTATCCAGAAAAGAGCATACCTGTGAAAGCAAGCACAGCATCTTTAACGGTGCTTGCACATTCAAACGGTAAACAACCACATATAAAAGGATTGTTCAGCATATGGGCAATAAATATCAAGTCCAACACGAGAAACAAACAGTAGCAGTATTATTCCGAGTCTAAGCTCAGCAATGGCTTAGCCTAAGCATGGAATTTGCAGAAACAAGGAAATCCAATAATGAAAACTGAGCTAGACTGGATTTGGGTAAAGCACTAGCAAACCCATTACAAAGAACAAACCCACAGAGGCTCCCAGCTGAGGGACCAGTCGACCAGGAGCCTTTCATCTTTAACTCCTTTGATGCCATTTAACAACATAAAGCACGAGATGTCGCAGCAAATAGGGTGGTATGAAATATTCCATTGTGTTAGCAGAAGTCTATATTAAAAAAAAGCCCACACAAAACACCCTTAAACGAATCTTGGATTTCTAGCACTGAAAATATACAGAGAACATTGCTCCTTTGGAGGGAGTTTATGTTCCCTGTTTGTTCATTCCCTGAGAAGCAGCGGGCAGCATAGCAGCGTGGCAGGGGAGTTCTGCTTGGTACCATGAAATCATGGGGCTGGAATGCACTTCAATGGAGCTGTTAGGTCAGGGGATGGGAGCTGTGTGCTCGAAAGGACTGCAGTTGGAAAAGGATGAAAACAAAAGGAGTGAAGACTTCCCAACGGAGCAGAGTGAAAGCCACAAGACATGCAGCTCCAGCCCACAGGCACTCACTCATTCAGACATCTGTAGTAAGCACAGTGTGAGCCCGCTGTTCGTATGTTTAACTCTGTGTGGTGTGTGCACCTACACCAGTAGTGCGGCGTGTTCACCTCCACTCCTGTTCAGAGCGTGCTATCTGACGGATGTTTTAACATCTACTAGTTGTTTTCCCTCGATAAGACTTCTGCATGGCAATTCCAGACACCACAGTGCATTTCTCAGCAGCATTTCTAAACGAAGCTTGGCCCAAACCCCATTGAGATTCAGGTGTCCTCTTACCCAATCTCCTTGTTCATGATGAGATGCTGCTCCTTATACTGAAAAACCATCAACATCCAAATGCTCTCAAATAATCAGGAATAAATGTTATAGAATGGTTTGGGTTGGAAGGGACCTCAAAGATCATCCAGTTCCAATCCCCTGCCATGGGCAGGGACACCCTCCACTACACCAGGTTGCCCAAAGCCTCGTCCAACCTGGCCTGGAACACTTCCAGGGATGGGGTGTCCCAGAGCAG